AAGCTTAAGCTCCCCCTCGCTGGAGCTCAGCTCTCCTCAAATGGCTCTGCAGCGAGCACCACTTGCGGCAAACGCTTGCCTTCATCAGGGTAACAGAGATCAGATGCATCTGGAGTTTCTGTTGAACATTATGGTCTCATGACTCATTAGAATATCTAAACAACACTAAAATAATATACTGAACACAAGGTCAACTCAACAATCATTATTAATTCAGAAACAAAAGTGTGTAATTTGCTGCAGATTTTAGTTGGTTTAGTAAGTGGAGCATGATTTATGAGCAAGTATTGTAATTTATAAACAAAGGATGCACAGCTATAGAAATGTGTCACTTTAATTTAATTTTGAAATTATGAATTTTACAAAAGCAAAGGGCAAACAAACAAACAAACACTTTATTTTAAAATATTAAAAATATTAATTGCAAAAAAAAAGCACATACAAATACATTTCTAATGTCCTCTATTTTTTCATAATGAAAAACTCCTACAAGTGTCAACATCTTGCCTTTCCCTCTAGAATAAACTCCCCTAATGCACAGATATCTTCTGCATCATTTGATACTGATAACATTAAAAAATAAACATTTATTTGATGATAGTGGATGTATTGTGTTATAAACTATTATAAACTAACATACTGTAACATTTGCATCACACATCTATCTCCATATGCATGCATTTTTTATTATGGTAAACTTATTTGGTATGGGTATGAGTCCTGCAAACACACATTATGACAAAAATAGTGAAAAGCCCACATTAAAACAAGGTAAAATAGCAATAATAAACAAAACTCTGCCACAATCTGTTATTTGTTTTGGATTTTTAAAAAAAAATTATTTAATGATATTCAGTAATCATTTCACTTTGAACTTTCTGAAAATAAAAAAACTGAATTTTTACATTTACAATTTTTCTGAGAGTGATGCAGATATAAAAATGTGCTCTCCTAGCAGCTGTGTGGATCAGAACAGAGATTTTTTTAAAGTCACTAATTGGCAAGGCCTATAACTACAGAGAAGAGTGGAAAAGGTCGGCAGAGGTTAAGCTTGGTCTGACTTTTGAACTTTTGCAGTAAACAGAGATTTAAACCCTTCACAATCTCACCTTCTAGGTCAGCAATAGATAAATGGACATTGACAGACCCAGACTCAGGAGTCGTAACATCAGCTAACATTCCTGTCTGTGAAACGTTAAAAATGTGACCACCTTCTCATTAAAAACATTTGGGGTTTCTGAAAAATTCACTCTAAAAAATATCTGTTCATTAACAGTTTCTGTATTTTGTGATTTACATGTGTCTTCCATTTATTAACGATTGTAAATTGCATAATGGGATCTTGACCTCTGCTCTGTCGACTTTTGATGTTGAAAATTCAACTCTACAGTTTAATAAAGTGACTTTAATTCACATTTTAGTATGAGAAATAATATATAGAAAAATCTGTCTGTAAAATAACAGAGAACGTACTGGCAGATTATTGCAAGGTTTGTATACCTTGATATACAACACCAAACCAGATATTATCACCTAAAACTATTACAAATGTGAATAAATGTTGCTTTTTCAAACTTTTCAAGGTTAAAAGTTGTTGGAAGAAAGATCAAAGTCCCATAATGCAGTTCAACAGCATAAATAAACAGGAAAAATAAAAACACGACTCACAAAATATGGAAAATTGCTCATTTATAGATATTTTTAACCTGTACATTGAAAAAAGCAAATAATGTCCACTTAATATTATCAGCCACATGATGATGGGTGAGTTTCCATTTACTGTTGTAGGACACTAGAATTTCTACTTGCTATCTATGTCATACATGTACAGCATGACAGTTTATAACAGTAATTTTTAAGAATATCCCCAACATCAATACCCAATCTAAACACTGGACTCATTCCAGAATTGCGGGTACAATTCAAGCACTTTCCATTCATTTTCCTTAAACCAGAATGACATACAACAAATGAACAATTTACATAAAACTAAATCTATTATTAATATCAAATAATGTTTAAATCCTATTGAGAAACTTTGATTTTGTTACTAATTATTGTTTAAATTATTATTTGAACCGCTAACAGACTTGATATTTTCCACCCATTTGTGCGTTAGCTCAAGATGATAACCTCAAAATAGATACCATGACATTTCTAAGACTGAATTTTATCAAGTTTCATCATATTATTGTTTTTAAAAAGTAGATGAAATTAAATTAACTGAAATTTCACAATAACAGAGTTGAAAATCTATTATTGGTGTATCCCAAACAATAATGAATGAGAGGAATTAAATGCCTTCTGAAGTTTTGTGACCACTTGGAGCAAATCACATGCTTTTTCTATTAACCTCTTAAGGCCCAAGCTGTTTTTTTACATGCATTTTTAATTTCTCTTTGCTATTTGGGCTTATTGGAGCCTTATTAGAAAAAAACCTAGGTATCATCTTTTGATATGTTGTACTAGAAAAATTTGAAAAAATGATGTCCATATATGTGGACTTGTGGTCCGAATTTCCATAAATCCTGACTGTGTTTTAATGCATCATTAAAACATTCATATTTTTTTAACATGTTCTGACTATCAGAAAGTAAAAAATGACATTTTTTTGCCCATTTTGGACAGTTAAAAATAGTGTTTGGAACATTTCCTATGCTGCAAAGCAGTTGTAGGATGACACTGTATGTCTGGAACAAAATATAAAGCATTCAAAGTATTTTAAATATCCACTTAAGATCTAAAATGTGCTGTCCATGTATGTGGCCACTAAGCCCTAAGAGGTTATTGCTTTAAAAATTTGTATGCCTTTTTATATAACTGATGTAACAGAGTTGACAAGAATGAAAAGGAACAGACACAAATCTTTTTTTTTTATAACCAAAATTACAAATAATACAGAAAATAGATGTTTCATGCAAATGTTTGTTCAACTTAGTAGAGTAAACACAAAAAAGATGACAACTAGACAATAGTTTCATGATAATTGAAGATTCAGGGACAGAGACGGTCAAATATAGGTATATCTAACGTAAATCTTTACGTTAATATTTTCAAAATGGTAAACACAAATTTCAAACATTATTTTTTAGAGATAATCGATAGAATATGTGATGCTATTCAAAACGTTTTCAATAAAGTTTTTGTTTTTAAGAACTAATAGAACATGCTAAAGATTCAAAATGTACCCGCAATTCTAGAATCGCCTACATAATCAACTACCTCTGGAGAGGGAAACAAAAAGTTCATTTCTAATAGCGTTAAATGCAGGAATGTGTGTGTCATGACTCAGAGGAGCCAGAAAACAGCATTATGACAGCAGTGATGGGGGCAGGAGACGGGACAGAAGTGCATGTGAAGAGCCTATAGTAGAGCTGGAAAGAGCCCATCTATGATGGAGGGATTTAGATCTGCGGACACTTTGTTCCTAGTGTCAGTGTTGTTGATGATGAACTTGATAAACAATCTGTGGTTAGTTTTCCAGGGTTGGAATCTTACAGACGAATGGAAAAGCCTTATCGCAGTTGTTGTCATTCCAAGACCTCAGAGCTGCAAAAGATGGAAAGATATAAAATTGTTACGCCATTTCTTGATATTCTGTATCATTTTTGGCACTGTCAGTAAGTTGAATTCATCAAATGTATTGAAATGACACATATAATATAATAAAATATAACGGGGGGGGGGGGACATACAATTTGGTGTTTGCACCATTTAATACAAATGTGATTTAATTTACTTAGAAATTTATGTTGTAAACTGAGAAAATATTATATGCTATTACTTCTAAGAAGGACTACCGAGACATTTCAAGCACAGGAGTTCCTCACAGCTCTATTCACATGTCTGCCATTTGTCTTACAGTAACCCTGTGCCTTTCACCATTCACGATACATCTGATTGTGATATTTGTATATACAATCTATTTACTATTGAGGAGAGTATGGTAACTTAAATAACTTTGCCTGCTTTAAGGAATTGAGATTCTTTCTCTTTATTAATGTTGATAACAACTTTAATGGAGTCAGATAAATTACAATTATTGATTTAAATGCCATCCTTCAACTGCTTTCTGTTTCCGATTAATGTTTCAGAGTAGCAGCGTAGGCTTCATGCCTTATAATGTAAAATTGACACAACATTCAATATTTATGCCGACATGTACTTAGTCAAATATAAACAAGAATAACTAATCATACTTATATATCATATGTCATATTCATTGTCATTGCTGACAATGTATAAAGACTTAAAATGACAATTAGAATTTCTGCACTTGGATTCTACACCCGTTTTTGTTCCTGTTTTCAGGAAACGTGGGTTTTTAATGTCGTGAAATGAATCTTCATTTAAATATTCTTGTCCAGATTTATTGGTAAATGTGATCGTGAACCACACAACGTCTTATTTTACATGGGTATATTTTTGGCAAAAGCCTAAAATACATGGTAGGGGTCCAAATAATTTTTCTTTTATGTCAAAAACATTAAAATATTAAGTAAATATTATATCTGATATATACATTTAGTTTAGTAATTTTTTATTAGTGCTAGGAATTTAATTTGGACAATTTTAAAGACTTTTGTCATTATTTAGATTTTTTTTTGCACCCTCATATTCCAGATTTTCACATACAGTAACTGTAATCATAGCAAACATTATATCAACAGAAAGCTTATTTATTCAGATGTCATGCACAGTAAAAAAAATTATGACAAAAAGTCAAGACATTTTTAAGTTCCTTTATTTAAGTTAATCAGGTTTCAACTAAATTTTTAACTTATACAAAGTTTAACTTAATACATTTAGTCAGTTTGATTCGTGTACAGTTGAAGTCAGAATTATTAGCCCTCATGAATTATTAGCCCCCTATTTACGTTTAAAACCTTGTTTGTTTGTTTGTTTGTTTGTTTGTTTGTTTGTTTGTTTGCTTGTTTGCTTTATTTATAGAGCACATTTAAAAACAACAGATGTTGACCAAAGTTGACCAAAAAACAACCAGCATACAAAATCTATACCTATATATAAAAATTGTGCAAAATATATAAAACAGATTAAAATTAATTAATTACAATCAAAGGCAAGAGACAGAAGGTGATTTTTTAGATGAGACTTAAAAGCACCAAGTGAAGAACATAACCGGATCTGTAAAGGCAGACCATTCCACAGTCGGGGGGCTGCAGCAGAAAAAGCCCTGTCACCTCTTGATTTCAACCGTGATTTGGGGACAACTAGCTGAAACGTGTTTTCAGACCTGATTGGCCTCAATGAAGTGTGCCAGTGAAGAAGCTCAGAGATGTAAATTGGTGCCAGACCATTCAAACTTTTAAAAACTAGTAGCAATAACTTATATTGAATTCTAAATTGGACTGGGAGCCAGTGAAGAGATAATAAAACTGGTGAGATACCTGAAAAATTTTTTGTCCCAGTTAAAAGCCTAGTAGCTGCATTTTGAACCAGCTGCAGGCAAGCTATTGATGCATGTGAAACTCCAGAATACAAAGAGTTACAGTAGTCCAGTCTTGACATAATAAAAACATTAATGATAGTTTCCAGCTCTTTAAAAGAAAGAAAAGGCTTCAATTTGGCAATGTTCCTTAATTGATAGAAACCACTTTTGACGACTGAGTTTATTTGCTTGTCGAACTTTAACTCAGTGTCAAAAGTAACTCCAAGATTTTTTACGTGACTGTGGACCTTAGGCTTGATCGAACCTAATTTATTAATTGTAGATTTACAGACACTCGGAGGACCAAACACTACTACTTCAGTTTTTGATTCATTCAAGTGTAAGAAATTACCAGCCAGCCATTCCTTAATCTCGTTAAAACAGGTGAAAAATTACTGTAAAACAGAATTTTCTCCCATTTTAATGGGCAAGTAAAGCTGAGTATCATCAGCATAGAGGTGGTAGCTTACATTATGCTTCTTACAAATTGCCGCCAAGGGAAGCAAGTCGATAGAGAAAAGAGCTGGGCCCAAAATTGAACCTTGGGGGACACCACACTCCAAACGTGCAGATGAGGAAAAAAAGTTACCCAATTCAGTAGAAAAGGTCCTCCCTGAAAGATAAGAACTAAACCAATTTAAAACATTTCCTTAACTAGGTTAATTCGCTTGATTAGGCAGGTTAGGGTAATTAGGCAAGTTATTGTATAACAGTGGTTTGTACTGTAAACTATCGGAAAATAATATAGTTTAAAGAGGCTAATACTTTTGACCTTAAATGGTTTTTAAAAACTTTTATTCTAGCCAAAATAAGACAAAGAAGACTTTCTCCAGAAGAAAAAATATTATTAGAAATACTGTGAAATTTCCCTTGCTCTGTTAAACATCATTTGGGAAATATTTAAAAGAAGAAAAAAAAAAGATATAAATTCTGACTTCAACTGTTGCAAACATTTATTTGATTCAACAACAAAAATTAAGTCAACAGGTTTTTTTTTCAGTGTGTGGGCATGTTTTCCAAAATATTGACACTTACAGTTTTATTGGTTTTGTGGTCCAGGGTAACAAATTAACTTTTGTTACAATCAATGACATTAAAGTTGGTATCTTCTGTATCTCATGGAAAAAAAATGTATGATAATCTTTTTTTTTTTTTTTTTTTTGCTCAAAACAACACTGTAAAAAAGTACATGGTCAATTAGTCCTGACAGCATATTTTTTAGGTCATTGTAAGTTATTAATCTAAATTAATCATGTTTTAACTTGATTTTATAAGTTACAGAAGCTGTTTTAAGTCAGTTTAACATACTATAAAGTCAATTGACTCATTCTAATTGAATTTGATTCAGCTTAAAAATGTAAGGCATCCAGGCTTTATTTTTACAGTAAAATGATTAATCAGGATAGAGTCTCAAATATTATGTGCCGAATGAATCAATTAAATCAGTGTTATATAAACATAACAGTTATTGAATCAGTCTGCTGCTAACTCACCACTGTTTTGTCTGTACCAAATCTCCACACAGTCCTCCTCCTCAGGGATGCGATGAATCCCATCATCTGGCTGATTTCCATCCCAGTAACTGTACTCAAAGGGTGACCCATCTGTCCACTCCATAGTGCCCTCCTGCCAACAAACGATAATTAACAGCCCTATTACGTGTGCTTGCTCCTTACCCTTTAACCCTCAAGTGATAATTAAAGTCATCTGGCCCAGCATAACTTTGGAGCTTAAAGAGATAGCTGACTCTAAAATGAAAATTCGGGCATTCCTTATACTCATCCTTTACTTGTTCCGAACCAGTTTTTTGTTTTGTTTTGTTTTGTTGAACCCAAAAGAAAGATATTTTTAAGAATGTTATTGACTTATTTGTTTTTCCTAGTATTTAAGTTAAAATAACACTCCACTTCTTTGAAAATAGCTTTATTTTCCAAGTCTCCTAGAGTTGAACATTTGAGATTTAACATTTTTGAATCCATTCAATCGATCTCTCGATCTTGCGGAAACACTTCTAGCTTAGCTTTGCATGAATCATTTAATCGTATTAAACCCTTAGCATCTTGCTTATTCAAAATATTTTGTATATTTTTTTATACTGGAATACTCTAATTCAGTGGTTCTCAAACTGTGATACGTGTACCACAAATGGTAAACGGGCTTCCTTCTACCGGTACGTGGAGGAATGAAATATGTCATGTACATGCTACATATATTTAAAAATTTACCAAAAATTATGTATATAATATGCCATATATGACATATAGCCTATATTTCTAAGGTAATCTACCACGTTTTTTAAACTGTGCAGAGTTTTAACTGCTTTACTGGGACTACTATGCTACTGTATTTCACCACTGCTCATTTTGGTGGTACTTGGAGAGACAATTTTTTTCTGAGGTGGTACTTGATGAAAAAAGTTTGAGAACCACTGCTTTTCTTCAAGCAAAATAATCAATTAACTTTACTTTCAGATGCAATAATATTGTAACGTACTGTTACTTTTCCTTCCTAACCACACGCAGACTCATGGGTTCTTTGGCTTAGTTGCAAGACAGACACACGGAGCTCGATCGGCAGGTATTAACCCATGATTTATTAAACATACGGGGGTGAACATCATAAATCAACCACATCAGATTACATCATGCGATTTCCTTCTCAGTCTCTCTCCTCTTTTCTCTTTCCGAACATTCTCTCATGCAATCTCAATTACAATATTACTTCTCAGTCTTATTTAAAGGTATAGAACATTCATTTCAACTTTAAATTACACCCTCTACTATACGAAGCTGTGCCTGAAACAGTACCCAGTGAGGTAACTGTAACAGCGACAGGTAAATCATTGCGTCTGCTGCAGCTATCAGCAAAGTTCCTTGATTATTATGCAAGAATGAGAGTATTCTTAGCAATATCAGCATAGAAAATAGCAATTTTTCATTTTCCAGCAGTCTTAGTACATGATGTAACAGCAGAATCAAGTTTTAAATAGGAAAATGATCAAAGCTCTTTTTTGAATTTGAGCAAGATGCTAATGGTCCAATTGGATTCAATAATTTATGCTAAGCTAAGCTAAAAATGTTCTTGATAAGCCCGGAGATTGACTTGAATGTATTAAAAATGATGAATGTAGAGTTCAGAGTTCAAACTTTCTTCTAAAATTAGCATTTTTCTCAGGCTTCTGTCTTGGTTTAGTAATTCAACTTATACAGCAAATAACTTATTTTTTCATCGCTTTTAACATGAAATTAAACACAAAGGCTAAGAAAAATGTTCATTGTAGAAAAAAATTTCAGATGGTACTTGCATCTAAACTCTTCAAATCTCTAGGCTATTGTAAACAACCTATTTACAAAAAAATGTGGTGTTTCTTTAATGGTTACAGGTTTCCTGCTTTCCTAGCATTGTGTAAGTGCTATCGAAATGAAATTGCCTAATCTTTTGTGTTCAACAGAAAATTCAGAAACTCAAACTGCTTTGGAAAATGTGAAGGGTGAGTAAATGATGACAGGATTTTCATGTTGACGTGAACTATCCCTTTAATCCAAATTCTAAGAGAAACATTACAGATCAGAGTGTCTGTTATAACATCATCCATAAACTATCTACCTCAACTTGTTAGACCCAAATGTGTCTGGAAATGATTAAACGTCACTCTGACCAACTATATTTTCCATTGGTGAAATTATTGTTGGGAGGTTTGACAGGCTGGGCTTGGCTTTTTATAACACACACAAGCTGTGTCAGACATGCAGCTGCTTATGTTTCTCGTTATGACTGCTTCCTAGTAAATAAAACACTAATGAATCATTCATAAAACACACTGTGTGGGTATGGGTTGTGTTTGTACTTAATACAAAATGTTATCGTGTTTACCTGTCTTCTGTCATGCAGGCCAATCCAAATGTCTGTTGGAATTCCTGGCATACGGCTGTTCACAAGATCGTAGACAAACACATTTTCTTCCCAGCTATGAAGAAAGTTATTGGAAAATTAATGTTTTGATGGGACGTTTGTCAAAATCCTTTACTACTGTGAGACAAATCGTGTCATCTCAGCATTACTGTGGAGTTAGATGTTGCGTATTGGGTCATCATTAAGACCACCGGTGAAATTTTGCTGTAAAATCTGTACGAGTCAGATTACCATTTATATCAAAAATAATTTATCAGTCAAGTCATGTGTTTTCTATCTGAGCAAGCAGTGAATGAATCACTGTTCTGATCTATGTAATGGGCCATACGGTGTTTGTCAAAATGTGATGAATGGTTTGCAGTTGATTCATTTAGACAGTTCTCTCACACAATAAATCTGGACAATGTTAGAAATTTATTTATTTAGTCAAAAGATTGTATAAACACACAAGGCATTTATATTTGACAAAAGTATTGCCCGTCCTGTGAAAATGTATTCTTATTCAAGTATTCTTCAATTGGCATTTAACTGAGAGATGTTTTTTCAGCATTTTTAAACACAGTGGGCCCTATCATATACAGCTGGCACAAAAAGGCCATTTTGAGCTCAGTGTAACCATAATTTTTAGCTTTTGTGCCACGTTGTGAACTCATGGGTGTGCCGGTCTAAAAAGGAGGTGTGTTAAGGTGCATTGTTGGAGACTTGCTATTTTTGGCTCATTTAGGAGAGTTTAGGAGAGTTTCAATGTTGACCAACTAAAAGCTGGCCTAAAGTCCAGCACAGAACACGTTAGTTGTGCACTATGCACCCAAAATCGACACATTGTTTACTACAGACAGGATGTACAGTAATACACAAATATCTTAACATATAAAAAAAAATAAAGGATCAAAATGTTACAAAAATTATTGTTTTCTACATAAATATAAAAACCACTACCTCCATGCCTTCTTCATCCCAAGGGAAGTTTTTCAATGCACGTTATACTCAAAACAAACGCATAACTCATTAAGAGAATAAGCACAACCCTGTTAGACCATGCGCCTTGGTGCAAAGCTTATTTTTCTATCCTTAAAATGGTGAAAGTGGATTCAGACATGTCCTTAATGCTTTTGCGCCATACTCTTTGAACTCCACACCTACATCGTTCAATAGCTTTAACAACTAATTTATAATAATTTCTTTGCTATGAAAGTGGCTTGTGGAATGGAGATGTCTGTCTAACCCGCCAGAGCTATTATTTACCCGCATTTAGCGGGTTGGTGGATGTTAATGTAAAGCCCTGTATGTGTGTGTGTGTGTGTGTGTGTGTGTGTGTGTGTGTGTGTATATATATATATATATATATATATATATATATATATATATATATTAGGGATGTAACGGTATCAGAATTTCACGGTACGGTAATACCTCGGTATGAATGTCACGGTACGGTATTTATTGAATCATTTACAGGAAAAAAAAAAACTTTTGAAAATACTCCAAAAAAGTGCCAAAAGTGTCAATGACATACAAATTAGCCATCTATCTGTTAGCTTTGAAACAGGAACTTCAATTTTAATAACAAAAAATTATTAAACCATGTAAAAAAATAAAGTTTCAATTTAGTATTGTTGAAAACTCATCACATTCAACATTTAATCACTCACTTAGATAGAGATGGGTTTAAAGAAAAATTATCATATAATTATAATCTGGTAAAAGCTGGTATCTCTGGGTATTTACAATGTCCCCTGCAACAGAAAAAACCCTCTCATTTGGGACTGAGGTTTCTGGGACAAGAGAGATATGACTTGGCCCATGTTGACAGCAGTGGGGTAACGTTGTGCATTGTCTTTCCCCCACTTGAGAAGACAAACCATGAGTGAGATAGAGGTCTCTTTGCGGTACAAGTCAATGTCTGCATCAATCTGAACAGTGCTGTGTTTCTGCAGTCCCCATGACTGTTATTAGTCGTATTCCCCAACTTGTAGGCACGTGCACACATAGGGCTCAACCTGTGCAGTGCACATGCCCTTTTTAGTCTTGGATAGAAAATGCCCTTCCAAAACGATCAAAAGTGCCCCCGCGACGCGACACAACCTCCGTCCAGTCCAGCCCTTCAGTAGGCGCGCTCAACCCCCCCCCCTCGGCGCTTTACAATACGCGCGCCACAACACAGCTGATCAGAACGCGCGCGACAGCACAAGCGACAACACCCGCTTTAGGTTCGATCATTTCCATCTTTTTTTCATCTCCGCTACTAGCAGCACACTCCATTTCCGCATTACTGGATCTGTAGCGACAACAGACCGCAAAGGATTATGGCCACGCCGGGGCTGATGGGAAAAGAAGTTTCAGCTACCTCCCTTTCGCTTCATTCGCTTGAGCAAATTTTCTCTGAAGATCTATAGTTTTACCGAGTCATGCGACTTCGGTAATATCGAAAAAATTTAATATTGCGGTATGACGGTATTTACAATACCGTTACATCCCTAATATATATATATATATATATATATATATATATATATATATATATATATATATATATATATATATATATACACTTGAAGTCTGATTTATTAGCCCCCCTGTTTATTTTTCCCCCAATTTCTTCAGTTCAATTTCTGTTTAACGGCGAGAAGATTTTTTTCAACACATTACTAAACATAATAGTTTTAATATCTCATCTCTAATAACTGATTTATTTTTATCTTTGCCATGATGACAGTACATAATATTTGACTACATATTTTTCAAGACACTTCTGTACAGCTTAAAGTGACATTTAAAGGCTTAACTAGGGTAATTAAGTTAATTAGGCAGGATAGGGTCATTAGGCAAGTTATTGTATAACAATGGTTTCTATAGACTATCAAAAAATAAAGGGGCTAATAATTTTGACCCTAAAATGGTTTGTAAAAAAAATAAAACTGCTTTTATTCTATATGAAATGAAACAAACAAGACTTTCTCTGGAGAAAAAAATATTATCAGACATACTGTGAAAACTTCCTTGCTCTGTTAAATATGATTTGAGAAATATTTGAAGAAAGAAAGAAAAAATCAAAGGGGGCTGATAATTCTGACTTTAACTGTATATATTGTTATTCCAGACAAATTCAAAGAGATAAAACTTTCTCTAGAAGAAAAATGTATTTCTAAATAAAATAAAGTAAATACTATTTAAAGATTTAAATTTAAACAAAATGTCCTTGTTCTGTTAAACATTATTTGGAAAATATTTTAAAACGAATTACAATTTCACATGATGGCTACAATAATTTAATAACTTTATACATAAAATATTATTTCAAAAATATTATGAAAATATAAGAACAAATGATGGGCAGCCTGTAATGCGGGGTAATAAATAATTAAGGGTAATCCTACCTGTGGACAGAGGTGAGTTTGGCAGATTTGTGTCCGTTTGAGAACTCAGCGCAGTACAGATCTGCCTCAGCCCATGTGCGGTTCAGGGGAAAGAAGCGGTAACAGTAACCCTCAAATTCAGTCCAGAACAGTGGACATGTCACAGGCTGGTTTGAGTCTGAGAGCTGCATAGGCAATGCTAGAGGAAACGGGAATGATATTAGCCTACAGGAATAGGTTGCCTTAATTGAATGAAATTGATTATTTTGTACACCACAAGGCTTTTTTTTTTCAGGAAAACGGATCTAAATCAGGCCAACTTGGCTCACTAATGGTGGTTAGTTTAGTGATGTGTAGATACATTTGCATCCATAAATGTTATATTATATGAAGTACCATCTCATGAATGTTCATTACAATGTTGGTTGGACCAAGGTAATTAGGAGTTTAATATACTTGTATTCATCATAAACACAATAAATTTATCTAAAGTGGCAGTAAAGACATTTATTTAACTTTAAATAAATGTAGCTGTTCAAATGCAAAAGGCTCTTCAACTATAAGGAAACAGCATCATATACATCTTGGATGTCCTGAGAGAAATAAATAAACGTAAATTGTGGTTTTCTATTCCTTAATAGAATATATTTGGTATAAACTATTTCTTTTAACCCAGCTGTTCAAATGCAAATGCAAAAACAACACCACTGATGCATTACGTTATTTGAAACATCACCTGCAAAGTATCCGATTACCAAATAGAAATCAGTCAGTGTTTCCTTTTCACAGAAACAGCCAGCATTCTATAAACTTTCAAGCTTAGCAACAGCTAAAAAGTCTGTTTTGTATTAAAAACAATTATAAGATACACTTTTCACTAATAATGTATAATTACACTATTTAAAGGTTACATTAAAAATGCCAGTGGAGAAAAGACTTCTTAAACGAATCATTGTTAAATGAATTGCAGTGTTGAGACATTGTAGATAAGAAAAGCAATTAGATTATTTTGTCTTACGGTGATTTTCCAACATAATGTCATTTACAAGAAAACTTTACTTGCCTGCTGAGTCATACTTAACCTTAAAGATACTTTCACTGTTTGTCTGAGCCCTTGTACATCAATTATGAAAAACATTTCAAGCATAAAATGAATGTCACATCAGACAAACAGGCTGCACAACAGAAGTTAAGCTACACATCATAAACATAAGCATCTTGGGCAAAGCAGCTCTGGTTCAGCTTTGGCCTGCGTATTCCCTATGAAGCAAATTAAAGCGTATTATCTGTGTCTGCGTTGTGTCCTAGTCTTTGTCTCTGGTGGCACTCACCTTGTGTGATCTTGATGTTAGTTGAAGGCAGAGCCCACGCTGAGAAGCTGCTGAACAGTAGGGCTAAAAACAATTCCCAACAGTGCATGTTTAATGCAAGAGAGATGAGATTGAGATCTGGAGTGTGTGTATGTGTGTGCATATGTGTGTGTGTGTGTGGAGATTAGGGGTGTGTGTGAGTTTCTCTTAGCCCCTGCCTTTTTGTTGGACTCTTCCTACTTGGTCAAGTCCAGAACGCTTACATCAGACTGTGTGTAATAAAGGGAGAAAGTGAACACCCAAGGGCCTAAAATTGTTATTTTGTATGTTGAAGAACTTACTGCATGCAGTGCCATTTAAAAGTTTGGGGTCAGATAGATGTTTTAAAAGAAATACATTAGGATACATTAAAATAATTAAATATATGCATCAGTAAAGACATATTCGGTGTCACAAAAAAAATCTGTTTCAAATAAACAATGTAGTCACACTTTATTGGGTAGGATTTTGGATGTGGAATAAGATCATACTTTGTAAATTCTAATAAACAATAAATAACTCAATAATAGGCAGGTAATAAGCCAGTAGTTAATAGTGAGTATTATTGGGCTCAGTGATTGCTGGTTCAAGTCCTGGCTCAGCCAGTGGGCTTTACTGTGTTTCTGTGTTTTCTGTTTAGTCACAATGTGTGTGAATGGGAGAGTGTGTGGGTAATTTCAGCACTGAGGGTTGTACTGGGAGGATATCAGCTGCATAAAAAAATATGCCAGAGTAATATGCAGTTCATTCCACTGTTGCAACCCCTGATAAGGCAAGGAATAAGCCTATAAGGAAAGTGAGTGAGTGAGTATATAGCGCCAATTCACAGTGTTTGAATGATTTGTGAAAGATCATGTGACACTAAAGGCTGGGAAGCTGAATATTCCAATAGTATATGGATGCAGCAGTGATGATGTAAGCTGAGACTGCATATCTCAGTGATGCAATGTCAGACCCAATGCACTCGATGGAGCTAGTGACGTCAGTGTGAGCATTGAATGCAGCTCAGATTGCACTGCATCTCTGCATCCAGACCCCTCTCTAATATTCAGCATTGCGTCACAGTAATACAGTAATAAATTACAGGACAAAAACATATGTATATATTTTTTAATTTACACACTGTAAAACCCAAAACGTTAAGGCAACTCAAACCGTTTGAGGAAACCGATTGCTAACCATTTGAGTTAAAAAAACGAATCTATGTGAGTACTGTGAACTTACTCCATTTAAACTGAAATGCATTACCTTTAACATTGAGTTCAAATCTCCTTTTAAATGAGTAAAATTAACTTTCAGTCAATATTAAGTTAACTACACTCATTTCATTTGATAAAGTTGACTGTTGGGTTTTACAGTGTACCTTTTTAGCATTGTTTCCAACCATCCTTTGAATTGTACTGTAAATTATTACTATATATTTTATATGTAAATAAATGTTATATTTTTATACCCCACAGCAACAAATAAATGCACATCCAAATTTTTAATATGCAGATCAATCATACCAACCTTACATTTTTTAAATATAACTATAGAAAACACTGCAAATTCATATTAATGTCCTAAATTTAGAGTTGTTTTAATTAATGGGCTTTGTTTTATTTATAAATGTAAGTGATTTGTTTTCAAATACATAAGTTAATATGTTTCATATTTATTTATTTATTTATTTATTTATTTGTAAACTAACTAAACTGAACTTAATCCAATTTCAAGTTTACACATACTCTAAAACATCTGTTAATTAACAGATGGATAAATGTGCATTAAGAAATTCACCTTTTCCATTTGTTTATGCTTTTGAATTGCATTACGGAACCTTGATATCTGCTCTAGCTAATTTGTAATTGATGAAAATTTTACTCTTGCAGTTTAACAAAATAATTTTTTACATTTAGTAGTTTCAAATTACATCACACTTATTTTAAGGTACAATTCTCACTTATAATAAACCATTCATTCATTGTGACTTAATTTGTTGCTTATTATTAGCTATAAAGGTAGGTTGGATTTAGGAGCAATTCCAGCAATATGGATGTGACATTTGCAGTGAAATCTCAAAACATAAATTCACTGAGAAAGTATATGTTAACACTATAATAAAACATCTGTTTATATTTTTCAAAACATCTAACCACAGACTTATGGGATCAGAAAAAATATCACTCTGTAAACATAATTTAGATTTTAAATGGGTAAAATAAACAAGCATTATGAATGTGACAAAAAAGTTACCGAGTTTACAGTATGCAACATGCTTTGTAGTAATTCTTTGAATTAAACTGCACAACTCAAGGGAAATAATGCTAATGAACAGGATAGGAGTCGACTCTAAAAAACAAAACGTTTCTGTCACGTTCCGGTAAAGGGAAAAAGGAGCGAGGACCCAAGCGCAGAGTGAAGTAGGATTTATTATTAATAAAATAAAATAAAAGGCAAAAATAAACAACCCCGAGGGGGAAAACACTACTACAACAAACAATAAATCAAACAAACAAACTTGACTGGGCAGGCAGGACAAGGCAGGACTGGACACAGCAGGACATGTAAACATCGACAACATATGATGACGAACTCGCACAGGACAGCAGACATAAGGGGTTTATAAACTGTAGGAAATTAACAAAAAAACAGATGAACATAATTAACTAATAATGGGTTAACAAGGAGGGTGGGACTAGACAATAGACGGGAGAGCGCATGACACAGAGAGACAACACAAGCCATGCGCTCACATGACACAGGACAAGAACATGCGGCCAATGAGAGAACTCATCAACCACATGTTCATGACAACAAACACAACACTGAAGCACACGACAAAAGCACGTGACCACAATGTAAACATCGAGCCACGTGCTTTGACAAAAGACGCAAGACACGAGCACACGATAGATAAACACCTTACCGTACGCTCACACATTAGCAACGCGCATGCTTCATCTCAGCGCCAACCAAAACTGAAACCAACTAGACGGAGGCGCCGAGAATAAAGCAGCGCGATGCTGACAGAACAAACACAAACACTAGTACAAGAGCGCGCGCGTCTGAGGGACGCAGAGCGTGCGCGGCCACATCAAGCGCCAGCGCACACACTCTGCGTACACCCACGACGGCGCGCGCGCACACAGAGACAGAAACAGGACCAGACATGAGTAGTGTCAAAGCTCTGCCACCAAAACAAGAATTTACGAGACCAAAGTGGCAGAACCCTGACAGTTTCAATTTATTTTATTTTACTTTTTTTGCATTTTTGAGGAAAAAGCATTATGGATTATGGATTTGCATGTGACCGATTTGTAAATTATTTGAAAACATTAACAGAGACATTTTTGAGTATTTTTAAAGCACTGTAAAATGCTTGCTTACACAAAAAACGCAGAAATGGTTTTGATATTATGGTAAAAACTTTTCATAGCAAGGTTGACATTTGCATGGAATTGTTCTAGGTATTATAGGGATGTAGCGTAAGATCATGCAGAATATATGCTTTATAAGTAAAGTCAATATTTTAATAATAGACAGGTAATAAGCCGCTAGCTGGTAGTGAGATTTAGTACTTACTCTCAAATATTTATATCCTCTGCACCTTTAACAGTTTTTATAAATTACACAGTATTTAACTGTAAAATGAACTGTATTTTTACAGTTCTGCAGTATGTTACAGTATTTTAAAGTTGCATTGTGAAAATTGCTGTGCATTTTGCAGTAAATGCATAATTGAAATACATTACAGCAGGATAAAATATCATAGTATTTTGCTGTAATTGATTTACAGTAAGTTACTGTAGATTCTACAGGAAATTGTTAACAGTGTGGGTCGTAGCCAGCTCATATTTTACATACTCAGGTGGCCTGCATCTGTTGCAGAAACGCTGAAAGAAATAAAAATTGTCTTGTTGAAACTTAATTCACAAACATTATAATACATGTTACAGCATGAATGAGAGAAGATTTAAGAGTGCACCTGAAGTAACTAAAGATTACAACTGCATCAGAAAATCCAACCCGTTTACTACAAAATAACCAACGCAATCTCACTGCAATTTGTAACTTTTTGATTTAGTGGCTGATTTGTATAAATTCGTACGGTCTAATTCGTACAATTTAGTACGATTTGCTCATCACCCTATGACGTTTGGGGTTAGGGGTGGGGTTGGGTGCCACGCCTCCTTTTTAAAATCGTATATTTTCCTACGACTAAACTCGAATTCCTACGAATTAGCCACTTAACTGACAAAGAGTAAAATACTTACGTTTCCTTGTTAGAGCAGGCTGAAATAACACAAGAAAATAACCTTTAATATACCTTCTATATAGTCTATGTGAAAATTTCACACAGCATCAATTTGTTGAACATGTCACGATGTCCAACTTGTCTGCAGTTATTGAACACCCACTTCACACTACTTGCTTAGTTCCATTAGTCTCCCCTGACACCGTCTTGCAGATGATAGCATGTCTGCTTTATCTCATGGCCCACACAGCTCATGCTATTAAAGGCCCGGAGTTCCTCTTATCTTTGAGATGACTGTCGCCTGTAACAGCTAAGGGCAGGAGCTTGAAGATATGACTCATTCTTATACAGAAGACGGTCTCCATTTAGGATTTAGATGGGATTGCTGCTAAATATGGTCTCTAAATGAGTGCCTGTATCCTCTCAGATGTCGATCAATCATGTAACACAGGGAACTTTTTAAGAACTATTAGCATTATTTACAGGTAAAATCACGGTGTGGGCCTTCTGAACAACTCACATCACGCTCACATAAAAGAATATAGTCAGTTTATACTATAGTGTAAAGTTTGCATATAGCTTTATTATTAAATGCTTTGGCATACTGTATTGCATTAACAGTGATCTGATAACCTGTAATAAAAGCTGTAGTATACTTTGGATTCTACTTTAGATTTTATTTAGATTTAATACTTTAGCCTCCAGCGCATAGACTCCAGCTCCGCACAAGTTTGGCCAGAGGAGAAAGGGTCAAACTAACTGAGCCGAGTTTTTTTCCTTCACTTTTGTCAAGTGGTGAAGTTTTGTTCCTCGCCACTGGCTTGTTGGCTTAGGACTTGATCTGTGAATCGATGGATTTGCTCTTTAGTGTTTGGACTTTCAGCATTGAAAATTAAACCACACTGAAATTA